ATAGATCATCGTATGAAACTTTTTGACCGCAAAGATAATTGCTAGAGTTCCTTTTTCTATTTGACTGTGATTTTTCTCGAAATAATATGGCGTTCTGGATGCATGTCCAATAGTCTTCTGCGAATCAACTGGGAAAATGTGTGGAATAACAACTAGTCGATAGTTCGATGCATTGGAGACAATGACTACCTTCAGGTTTTGGTTGGAATGTGTAAACAGCTTATTTAATGACAAGGTTTTCTTGATATTATTAAAGTCTTTTTGATATTGAAGAGAGCAGTTCCACTTCAACTGTCTACTCAGAAGTTCGTTTGGAGGCGTACGATGCTGATGCGTAGATGGAAGGAATAAGGCATGATCATTTACTAACTCCAGGAATGACCTCTGGGAGTTGAGCTTAAATGGTGGTGGCATTTGCTTTATAGCTTCAGTATTTTCCGGACCAGGGTAACTTCCGAAGAGATCGACAATAAGTCCCATATATTTGGTTGAAGTCGTGAAGAAATTACAATTCTCTTGTTACGTTTTGAAATTTTTTTAAATTCGATTCAAAACCATATCCAAACGGTCAAATAATTTTTCTGGTTTGTGCCAAAAACGATAGTATCACCCACTTAAATCAAGGTACCCGGGACGTCCGTAGGCATTGCATCCATAATTTGCTGAAATATTTTCGCAGCTGTCTTGACTTTAAACGGGAGGCGAATATAATGATAGATGCCTTAGTGTGTGTTATTGGTAACCAGATTTCTGAATGCTTTTTCTACTTCTATCTGTAGATATTCATCAACGAAGTCAAGCTTCCCGAAAGATCTGCTCCATTCAGTTGTGCAAAAAGATGATCTGGAGTAGGGAAGGGATACTGGTATGAATCAAATAAGTCGTTGGGTACAGTCGAAAAATCAACACCTATTCGAATATTACCATTTGATTTTTTTTACTGTCATGACTAACTATGCCTATGGGGAATTATCAACTGGTTTGAAAACACCCAAAGCTTTCACTCCGTCTAATTCTTTGTCTACAAGAAAGTGTGCTGCATAAGGAACTGAGCGTTTCAGTCGAAGATAGGTATGGTTCTGGTTTCAAAAATATCTAAACGTTTAATTTCGTACAGCAACCAAGATCATTTCGAAAAATAATGGGAAACTTCTGTTTAAGTCAGCCAATCATATGAGGATACGGAGGTTGCTGGAGAGTTGAAGGAGATACTTGATTACAAATAAGAATGAATTGCCGATCGAACAATTTTAAATATGTGAACGAGTCAAGACTAAAAAGGTTAAAAGATTTGTCAGTAACATAAGATCTAGGTTTCATTGTCAGATCATTATATTTGACAGTACATATGATAATTCAAAAATTCAGGTACCCGGTGCAATCGACAGTAGGTTGGATGATAGGCCAAACAAGATAGTGTCGTGTTTTGTGAGAAACTAAAGTTGTGTCTGATGAAGTACCCAACTACAGTGTGATCATAGGATTTTTTTAACATCAATGTATAAATATTTGCGTGAGCATTATGAGTTAGATTTCGATAGATCATATACGGAATTCATTTTTGCTGACACTCGATTATATGGTGTGAGATTCCTGCGTTTGAAAAATCCCTTGCTGTGGCCACTTAATCCTCATTTGTGTGTTAATTGTATCTCAACTATTTGTTTGTCAGTGTAGCTACATAAGTGTAAGTACTCGTCGACATTAGTAGCATAGTTTATTGCAGTATAGTAAGATAAAAAGCAAATTATTATATGGTAATAAATCAATTCAAACTGGAATATGAACTTAATTAACATAATGTCTATAATATTGGCTACTTTCGAAGTTTAAGATTTAGATCGGAATCTTCCACCGAAATCACTCAGCTATCGAAATTAAATGCAAGCTTCAGGCATGAAATTGGACACAAACAGGTACGCTAAGAAAAGGTTATTCTTGTAGTATGGATCGATTCAAATGAGTTGGTTGAAAGAAAGTAGTGAATTTCTCATGCATGTGCATAGTAAGGATTAAAGGTGGAAATCAAATATTCGAAAATGAATGTTTCATAAGGAGATACGATAGATGAAACGATGTGATGAGTATTTGTAATGTGAATCTTCAGACTTCGAGAAACTAGTTTATCTAACCTTCAACCTCAATATGAACTCCCCACTATTATTACTGCTTACTAGTATTGTTATGTTAAGGTGAATTTAAAACTAAATTGTTTATGTAGTTTCTTTTATCTAATTAAAAATGTAGAAGTAGTGAAGATATGCAAATTGTTTGTGTAGCAAGTTGTGCTACTTAAATAATTAAGTAGTAGTAAAGATTGCAAAATAAAAGTGTTTCATGCAGTCACCTGTTTTCGGCCGATCTTCATATATGTTTAAACTTGATTTCTATAACTGATTGACGATTTCGGTGGAAGATTCCGATCTAAATCTTAAACTTCGAAAATAGCCAATATTATAGACATTATGTTAATTAAGTTCATATTCCAGTTTGAATTGATTTATTACCATATAATACTTTGCTTTTTATCTTACTATACTGCAATAAACTATGCTACTAATGTCGACGAGTACTTACACTTATGTAACTACACGGACAAGCAAACAATTAATATTTAATTAATACATTTCAAACGTTAAGGGAAAATATATTGGTTAGTTTTTTGTGACTTCTGATATGTCCTCCAGTCAAATGCTTTAGATGAATATGAATTATATCTATTGGATAACCTATATCAATTTCGATCTGTTTGGACTTATAACATACAACCTTGTACACCAATATCTCTCATTCTTATTGTTCTAGAATGCAGCTCCTCTTCAGCATAGTAGGGAGTCAGGATACGAATTCAGAAAAGAGATAAGGCTTCTATTATAACTGTACTCATTATAACTATAAGCTTGTGTGATTAACTAACTGAACGCACAGTAGAATAATAAGAAAATCACAATATGTACATGACTCCAACAAGTGAAGGAAAACTCAATAATAAATCCATAGTTAATTAATAATAACACAAGAAAGGTGATATAACGGACGGTTTAAAATATATGTTTCTCTCACCTATAATTCAATAATACGTTGATATGATAATGAGACTAGTCACGTTATTTCGGATCCAGAATTCACGACCCAGAAATACGAACTAGAGTATGGATTAGATAATACTTTAATCAGCAAAATTACAAGCAGTCACTTAAAGTGAGTCCGGAGTAGAAATCAATGAGAAGAAAGGAAATCATATATTTAATATACCGTAGCCTAAGTACCCGTTTATCCAAGCTCAGCGACCAATATTATCTTACTTCCACTATCATACATCAGAAGGTAAAATGTATAACAAGAGTTTAGGCGTCATCCCGAAGCTTGCAATACGAAAAATTTTAAAATATTTATTAGGTATACATAAATGATGTTTTCCAGTAGGATAGTTCCAAAAATGTAACCCTTTCCAAACCTGTTCTGATATACTACAATTTTATGAATTCCGAATTAAAAACATTTTTATTCATATTTATGTGCTATGAAACATCTGTATCTATTTAGCTTGGATTAAACTAACCACTTATTTTGTAGCCAATATGAGCTTCGGTTTATTTAAAGAATAAATTTTATATATCATGGTAAATGTTTCAAAAAACCGAAAGGCAAGAAAAGTATGATCGAAAACCTCAACGTCATAATGGGGTTGGGGAGCTTTTTGGATTTCATTAAAATTACGAACCAATCTAAAGTAGACAATTATTGAATACCTGGAAGCACTGAACTGCCATTTCGTACTAGCACAAGACGCCTCGGCACTGTGCATAGACGATTCTGCACGCAGGCATTAAACCTAGAATCTTCTTTTTCTTGCTTGAGCGCTTAAACTATGGACAACTGATTCCGAATCCAACGGTTTATAAATTTAACTCTTAACTACTCATGATGATTCTGAAGACCCCCATACTGAGAAGGAACGTTTATCCAGTGCTTCTAGGTTCTCTGTGATTGTGTAAATTGGATCTGTTTGTGATTTCAGTGAAAATCTATTTATCTGAGTGGGCAAGCAACTAATGCACGATGGTTCAGTAACTGGCTTTTTGTTTTAGGAGATATATTGTGGCATGTGCTACCTATATGGCTATATTTAAGTAATAATTACTAGGATTAAGTATTAAGATTCCTACTGACAGGAGAGAAAAGTAATGTGTGGAGGAACAAAGTCTGATGTAAGCAATATATTACCATGAATGAAAAAATGATGAAGTGAGTCAACAACAATTTAAGTAAGATATGAAAACTATATATTCGACGTTTCTTTCGTATGTGTTTTACAAATTCAGTAGGTGAATTAGGATAAATCAGTTTGTTTTAACCAATTCTTCGTTCATTACAGTATTTTCATGCTTTCTATATCATTGTTAATGTCATGTTATTCCTTAGTTTCTTAGTCCATTTCTAATTCCTATTCTGTCTTTAGTTTATCCTGGCCCTCGTAAGAATGCAAACATAAAATCATATATTATTCTCCAAGTTCTTATTCCACTATTTCTCTATATTAGTTTTATAATAATAATATAACTAGATAAAAAAGAATAGTATTACTGAATAAAATATATCCGTATCGGGTATTCCAATATAAATCTTGTAGGCAGTTCAGTCAGTCAGTCAGTAACAACGTAGAACTTCGTACGTACGTACGTACATCAGTTTGAGTTGTCACACCCCATTAGCACAGAGATGCAGTTGTCGATTCAACTGCAGTTAAAACATCATCACGGATGTTTTCTGCAATGATTAATATAATTTTTCGCCAAATAATAAATTGGATTGTACGTGTTTAATAAAATATGTTACGTAACCCCAAAATATTTTAAAAAAATATTGCATTACTTATAAGAAATAAGAATATTACAAGTCGATTAATACCAAGTAATAATGATGACAATAATAATAATAATAATAGTAATAATAATAATAATAATAATAATAATAATAATAATAATGGTAATAATAATGTTTATATTATCCGCCACAGTGTAATAATTAACTAGGAACGTAAAATAAACTTTAGAATTAACAAACAAAATCAATAAACATGAACATATTATTAAAGAAAGAAAAAAACAATAAAAAAAGCAACGAAATACAAAATTTCCCTGAGGTAAATCGTCTAACCATTAATGTTTACCATATTCCAGAAAAATATGTAATACATTTTAATGCTAATGAAATATTGATAAGATAACCAATAAGAAATATCAATCCTCTAGGAAATCTTCCATCTGTAAATAAATAAGCTGGTGTATGTAAAATTCGAGCTAGTGCAAAAATTCTAAAATGCCATAATCCAACTGTAGCTGGTGCATCTGTACTACAGTAGAGTAGACCAAGAAATAGAAATGGTACCAAATTTTCTAAATCATTTGAATGACATCTTGAATTGTTAGTTATTTTAAAAGAAAATATTAAAATTACCTCTGTATAGATTGTACCTGAGGATGTGGTTGGTCTTTACAGAAAGACTAATTAAAGATTAGATTATGAATAAATTAAGAAATAATATCTTTACCTTGTTTTGCAAGCGCTTGATAGTTGTAACCCCTGCAAGAATTAGAGTTTTGAAGGCTAGAATACTTCCATAGAAAGCAAAAGCTCCTCTCATATCACTAGTTTTCATATCCTGAATATTTTCAAATTTCAAGTGAATAAATTCCCCCAGTTAAGCCAATTGTCTGACTCACTTCTTCCTAAAATTTACCTTTATATATTGATATATTCATCTAGTAAGTTAGTGATTGGTTGGTCAGATATCTTTGTTTTTATTAGTTGAAATACAACAGTCATAAACGTATCATATGATACAATCAAAGAATAAAGAAAGGATACAAAATCAGCTATATGAAGTTCCGGTTATTGGACACTTATAAAGTGAAAAGTTGTTTACAAAACCTAGTTTGTAGAAAAACTATAAGCCATTCTAAAATAAAGCAAACTATCCCTACCCTTATTGAAAATAGTTTAAGAAAAAATCTAGATTGGACTTAACGTCACTTAAATAGTTACTGTCATTAGTATTAAACCTGAAATGAAGCATCTAATGTATCCCATGTTAAAACAGCTACGTGCTCACTAGTGACTAGCTTCGTGAGAAAAGTCTCGGAGTTCTAGTGAGAAGCCGTGACCAGTAGAGCTAGGGCGTGTCGGGTAGAAACAGGTGTCTACTTCAGTACAATGTAAGATGGTCGTGCAATTTCGTGGATTGGTTGAAGTTAGACATTAACACCATTGGATACCGGCTCAGTGGTCTAATTGGTTAAGCGCCTGGCGCGAAACTGATAGCTCCTGGGTTCGAATTTCGTGGGGTGCGGAATCGTGGATGCACACTGCTGAGGAGTCACATGCTAGGACGGAACGGCCTTCCAGTGCTTCCAGGTTTTCCATGATGGTCTAGCTTCAAATGACTCATGATTTTTATCAAAAACTTTACAATCTCCACAACACTTAAACTGATAAAACAACTATAACATTTGAAATAATAACAATTACTTGGAAACCAATGAAATTTTTCACTAAATTAATTCTTAAATTTAGTAAAATAACAAAACTGATGTAAACAGTTGAGATCATGAGTCCGTTGAAGCTAGACTACCATGGAAAACCTGGGAGCACTGGACGGCCGTTTCATCCTATTGTGAGACTCTCCAGCAGTGCACATCCACGACCCTGCCCCGCGGGATTCGGACCCTGGACGTATCGGTCTCGCGCCAGTCGCTTAACAAACTATACCACTGAGCCGGCATCCAACGGTGTTAATGTCTAACTTCAACTAATCCACGAAATTGAGCGACACATCCACCATTGCCATCAGTGAGTTACTACCTCACAACTGATGTAAGAAGAGTAATTGAATAGGGACTTTCAGGTATATATAGAAACATTTGATAACTAAATGAGATATGTTGGAATAAATCTGATCTACTCACTAGTCAAAAATTCATTTACTAAAAATTATATACAAAACAGTTATCCAGATCAATAATTATAAAAAATCAACAATCCCAGTAATTAATTACATAATTTAAACACTTTTTGATTTAAAAAAGAATGAGTGACACATTGAGTCAGTTCATTTGTAATATTTAATTTGTTTAATGTTTACAGTTTGCAAAATACTTCGGATCCGTTGGCCAGACACTAGTAGCAACAACCTACTGTAGGAGAGAACGAACCAAATCCTAGCGGAGGAAGATATCAAGAAGAAGCGCTGGAAGTGGAAAGAATATACATTGAAGATTGCACTCAACTGCGTTACAATGCAAGCCCCTACTTGGAATCCTCAAGAACAATGGAGAAGAGGAAGGTCAAAGAACACATTACGCCGGAAAATGGAAATAGACATGAGAAAAATGAACAAGAACTGGATGGAACTAAAAAAGAAGGCCCAGGACAGAGTGGGTTGGAGAATGCTGGTCGGTGGCCTATGGTCTACTGGGAGTAACAGGTGTTAGTCAGTAAAGTAAAGTAAGTAAGCAAGTAAGTAAGTGAGTTTATGTGTACAAATAAGTATTAACTGAAATGAAAGATCAAAATTAAAATTACACAGAAGCACAATTAAACGAATATATTCAAAATAATTAACTTAAGAACAAATAAATACATTTTGATACAATTTTCTTATTCAATTTACTTTATAGTTTGTTTTGTTTGGGATCTAACCGGTATTAATCTGAGTTCGACGAACTGATCTCGCTAGAATTTGTATATATCATTTTGTAGTTCATATTATTCATTGTTGCCTACTCTTATTCATTAACTTTACGAAATGATTCTCACGTGCTTAATTTTAAACTTATATATGAATTACTGAGATATAAAATTTATGATATGATATCATGAGTTCAATATCATTCTACAAATTCATGAAGTATCAGTATGGCCAAGTGAACTTATAATCGATAAAGCTTATAAAACACTTTTTTCTAGTTTAATCTTAGTGACTTAAGTTAGATTAAAGAATAAAGTAAATAGTTTTCATGCAATCCAATGAGAACTAATTGGCTTAAGATTCAATTCAATGAATAAATACAATAGCTATTATCAACAACAATATGTAACCAGCTTCCACCCGAAGAGGAAATCACGAAGAGACGTTGAAGGTGGATAAGACATCCATTACGAAAATCACCGAAATGCATCACGATGCAAGCGTTTACTTGGATTTCTGAATGCAAAAGGAAAGGAGGAAGATCAAAGAACACATTGAGTCTCGGATCGGAGGCAGACATCAAAAGAATGAATAGCAACAAGAAACTGCTGTAAAGGATTTTTTTATTTTATTATTTTATTTGAACACATAAATACTGGTACGAGGGGACACTAGATACATATGTGCCACACAGATCTCACTTGAATTGTGTGAGGGCTGCGATACTGCCCGGGGTGCCCAAACCGAAGCAGGTGGTTTTCTTAGGGGGCCACACTCGGAGCCTTCGACTAAAGGTCTGATCCACAAGGCAGTGCAGCATCGTAAGGAGATGCAGTCCAATGGTAGCCGGTGAACAACGACTGGTTCATATGCCATTTGGTCCCTCAGGGTACTGGAGCCCATGTCCACCATTGATTTGGAATCAGGGTTTTCCAACTCTCCTAGGTGGAGTCTTCGTGTCTACCAACCCGGTTGAAGTGCCAAACATTCGCTTTTCGTCCTCTCATTTTTGTAAACAACACCCTCGCCAAGAGAAGGCAGTGAGCAGGACTTCCCTGGCAGAGGCTATATACGCGTGGCCATGTGAGAGCATTTCGAGAGGGAGAGCGGACTCTCTCCACTCTCGGTCGTACCAGGGCATTTGAGGGCCTAGGACAGAGTTTGATGGTGTACTCTTTTTTATTGGGAGAAATGTTGTTCATCAACCATTATCATGAACTTCCAGTGGTCCATATAGGGCTATTTCACTAACTATCATGTCTTCTGGTCAGTAACTCTAACCTCTCTTCTTTTTCAGAATTTACGGCCATTTAAGTTGACAGTCTGCTTCATTCTAAGCTTAATGTCTGAAGCCCTTATTAAGCCAATATTATCCATATGTCACTACGAAGGTCACAATGGGTAAAACCAATCATTCAGCCCAAAATACTGAGATCTGTCGATTAATCCTAAAAGTTCACTACAGTTATCTGAAAAACGTCTCTTTTGTTAAAAATGTGTTAAAATAAAACAAAACGAAATGGAAAACATTTTATATACCTTTCCGCTGGTAGTATTAAAAGAAATAAAAACAATAATATCATAATTATAATAGTTGTAAATAGTATTTTTCTCCTCGCTGCTCAGATCTTTTATCATTAGTATATGAATCTTGTAATTTTTGCACTACTTACATTCATTTTTTTCAGAAGTAAATTAACAAGTCGATCTAAACAACAGTCAATTAACAGTCAAGAACATGAATTGAACAAACAGAATCAAATTGAGAAAGGTATGAATAATAGCAAACATCATCTATAAATTAATTCCAACTTAATTATCTGTACAAGTCTAATAACTCTTGATGCCTTAGTACCTCAAAAAGTAATAAACTGACTAACCTAAAAAGTAGTTCATGGTACCGAACACCAATAATCTAAACTTTATTGCTGAATTCCTGAAAGATATTTCCATGTAAAACGTTTCACATATAAATTAAAGCAGATATTTAGACTAAAAATAACGACAGTTTATGAGTGAATTCGACATACTATCTCCATGACGGAGACAATTCTCTAGAAAAGTTAATTTTTCACAGATCAGGCTCAAAACGAATTAGGCTGTTGGATTTTTCATGAACTGTTTTCTTATTTTATATCTTATATTCTCCTTCAATTATCCAAAAGTTGATTGTTTGAGAAGCTTTGAATCATTGAACACTGAAAGATTTTTGGTTCTGGTTAATTTTCTAAGACGAACATTTGTAATACCAATCCAAATATCAAAAAACATAATATCGAATATGCGAAAACTGAGAGTTATGCCACACTAAATCCAATTATTAAACCACTTAAACAAATCTTAAACTTATTAGGACTCTTTTAGGGCTAATGAAACAGTTGACCATGAATAAGATAAAAAATTTCCGACATATAAAAGACACACAGGGTTGTGTCACCAAGTAATTTTATATTTGAAAATCTTCACTACTAAATTTTTAATTAGATAAAAGAAACTACATAAACAATTTAGTTTTAAATTCACCTTAACATAACAATACTAGTAAGCAGTAATAATAGTGGAGAGTTCATATTGAGGTTGAAGGTTAGATAAACTAGTTTCTCGAAGTCTGAAGATTCACATTACAAATACTCATCACATCGTTTCATCTATCGTATCTCCTTATGAAACATTCATTTTCGAATATTTGATTTCCACCTTTAATCCTTACTATGCACATGCATGAGAAATTCACTACTTTCTTTCAACCAACTCATTTGAATCGATCCATACTACAAGAATAACCTTTTCTTACTGTACCTGTTTGTGTGATGCGTAACTAATCCAAGAGAAGTATTTACTTTACAGTTCAATCTGTGTCCGAATTCTCATAAACTGAATTTTATTTGAAGAACCCAAGAAAAACCAAAAAAAAAACAATAGAGATAATATCTATCATTTTTTTCATTTTGATGATACATGTGTGAAAGAAAGAGAATTAAAATACTCAGACTTCGTATGAAGTGGTTCTGTAAGGTTATTCTGAGTAATTTTGAGAACTGTTGGTTGTCTAATTCCAGTGGTTTGATCCCGTGTTCACATATCTCAGATCAATCACGTCTATAATACCTAAATTGAATCCTTTTTACAGAAAGTACTATTAACAACGCAAAACGGATTTATTTCATGCATACGTGTTCTGAAGCTAAACCGTTCAGGATCAAACCGGTAGTCAAACTGAACGGTATATCAAGTAACGTGTTACTTGTTGACTTACTTTACATGTAGGTCAAAGGAACAATGAAGATGAATAGGTAAGAAGACACATATGCATCGAAAAGCACACACATAAAAATGTACATTAGTAAGTGATAATTTATGATGATTTCTCTCAATTGTTAATTTAATTGTAATTACTTTCAATAAAGGATTTCATAAATTGATTTACATCTGAATACTTTGAAATAGTTTCACCAGTAAACTTCATACTTGTTATTAAAGCTAAAGTATTGGGTAATTGAATTTACTTATTATACTTTATAATAAATTGTATTAAAATTCAGTTATCTTTCAAAATTATTTTTAAAAGACTGGTATTTGAACGAAGAATATTCTTTTCGATAAATTCTCTTCAGGTTCTACAATTCATATATCTAAATTAATAATCGGAAAAATGGTCAGGTTGAGAGCATAGTATATCGTTTAAAGCATGTGAATTTAGGATTGTGATAAACAAAATACAATAAAATTGTTAATGTTGATCTGACTCATTAAAGAGGAAGAATATGTATTTGTTAAATCTCAACGAAAGAATTTGAAGTAAATCCAACGTTTCTCCTGGTAATCTGGTTCAAGCTTTTTCAAGGAAAATATAATCAAACAACAAAATTATCGAATATAAATAGGTATATGGTTCTTTGTTTTACTGTATACTGAATAGGTCATCCAATCAATGTTTGAAACGAATGGCACTGGGTTCCAGTCACATATGACATATAGAATGTTAACTAGAATCTGCGTATATGTTAAGTGAAATTTTAAGATCCATGATCAGAATAAATATGGGTCAAATAGGGTGAGAGAGAAATAATAGTGCAATTACAATTCGATCAAATAAATAAGACGTAATACGGAGGAATGAATGCGAAGTGAATGAATCATGTATAGGGGAGATTAACGATGTCTAACCAATAATACGAATAATAAAAATAATATTATTAATTTTCTGGTTAGCGTTTTTTTAGCGAGTTAGTTTTCTACGGGATGGGGACGATAACCCCATGCCCAACCCTCCTACTTTATCTAAGCTTGGGACCGGCAGTAGACCCCGGAGATACTTCAGGCGGAGTTAAAAAAAAATAATAATATCACAATCCTAAATTCACATGCTTTAAACGATATACTATGCTCTTAACCTGACCATTTTTCCGATTATTAATTTAGATATATGAATTGTAGAACCTGAAGAGAATTTATCGATAAGAATATTTTTCGTTCAAAAATACTAGTCTTTTAATATGACGCGGATCTTTAAACGATTAAAATTATTATTTTTTAAAATTCACTTTAAACAATTTTTTGGTATTCCTTAAGATGGTATAACAACTAAAATCGATAAAAAGAAAATTTCTGTGGTTCTTGTATTGTTGAATCCATTTTAAGTGATTTCTGTTATTCATTTTATTCTGCAAAAATTTCATTCACTTGGTATTGTTTTACTTGAATCTTTTCATTAATATTTAGGACTGCAATTGATCAGTCACTTATTGGTATATGTGCCTGTTGTGCATATTACTTCGATATGGCCTTAATCCACAAGCATTATGAGCAAAGATGGATAGTGGCAAGCGGTGGAACCCAGGGCGCGTATTTCTTCCTAGTTGGGACTCGTCAGCAGGATGTATCTGTATCTTAGAGCTGATGTTCACTTTGGGACTCGAACCCATCTAGACACTATTCATTTTCGCTTACAAAATTACATGTTGATATTTTATTCTTATTTTGATTAGATGTAACCTTATTAATGCATTTGAGTGATTTTTGATTTATAATGATAAAAACAGCACATCTTTATTTTAGTGGGATATTTCTTTAGCATTCTTAACCATGTAAATATAGAAACTTATGAATGACTGATCTCATAGTTAACATGACATTATTGATAAATAATTGGACATTTCACTTCTTAAAATATAGATCACTAAAGAGTAAGTTATTCCACAATTTTAAAATTTCAGTGTTATTAGTTCAAGTAACTATATGTTGTAACGGGTGGACTACAGGTTATATGGAGCAGCGTATTTATCGATCGATTACAGTGACACGAAAAACACGCAGTGAATGACCTAGTGTCCTGATTGGCCGTGCTTCCCTGTCTAGCCCAGCCAGTTGAGTCTAGAACGCAAGTCACAGCCTCTGAGTTATGAATCATTGTATTGCAGACATACTCTATTTATATACCAAACAAACAAACCACATCGTACCATAAAATAGAAAACAACATTTACACAATATTTAACAAGTGAAACAAATATCGACCAATAGGGAGTGTACATTTAAGGTCCAAGGCCACCATAGACTTAACACGATAATTATTGGTATATTTTTCCGACTATCCTAACACTATACATTTCAATGAAATAGAAATTATTGTTGATAGTTGAAGGTTTCATGAATATATGTTTCTAGATGTTCAGATAAAATCCTACTTACCCATGAAATGATGATCAATGTAATTTTATATTGAAACCAACATATTATTAGTAGTTTTATTAATTATAGAACTATTTATTTACTAACTAATTCACCACATACAAATTCCTGTAATTGTCCTTTAGCCATGCTTTAAATATGAGGATCGCTGATACCACCGGATTGGTCCAGTCAAATTAAGTGAAGCGGTGATCGAATATGAAATTATGTGTATGATAAATAAGCAATTTAACCACTGAACTACCACTCCGCCATCGGTTACAAAACCAATGTCTGAAACATATATGAAGATTATAATGCTATAATTTTAAAATTCAGAAATGATTAAGTGTAACTTACTTATTACTCTAAAGTAGTAATGACTAATACAAAAAATATGACAACAACTATGCAGTAAAGAGTTGTCGATTTCAAAGTAGATTAATGGTCTTATGAAGTACGATTATTTTAACACGAATAACTCTTACCAGTTATACTATGAAAGATCCTAAATTTAATAATTAAATAATATCAGTATCAGCCAAGCAGTTGTATATCCACAAAATTACTATATTAACACGAGACTTTTAGACTTAGATTAACAAAAATCGTACATAAAGAAAGTATATATTTGTAGTGACTCACATTTATCACGAGAACACGACTGGTTTAATAAAAAACAATTATTATTATAACCAACTGTACTAGTGTTTGTTTCAATGTGCTTTTGTTTGACTGTGCTAATGACAGCTATATTGTGCTTCCATTCTTATACTCACACTTTTGATTGTGACTTCGCGCGAATTCGGTTACGTTCTGTAAACAAGCTTGTATCCTGGCACGATCTCGATATCCTTTCGATGCCACGAGATCGCCAGAAAATATATCTCGATTTGGTCCATTAACTACCTTCTGATATTTGGCTTCTCGGGGATTTTATGGATTTATTTGGTTACGTTCAACCCTCGCCTTCTGATTTATTTGGCACGTGTTTCTTTGTAGCGGTGTTCATAGTTAACCTCAACTCGACGCCACGCTACATATTAAACAAACCACTATTTCTGAACAATAGAACATCCAATTTCAAGCTTATATATGTCAAACGCCACTTTTTTACTTCTTTAATGATAAGTTGAGAATAGTTAGATTAAATTTATTTCAATCCTGAATCAATTAGCTGGTTAGAATGAAATTAAAGCTGTTCTATTTTAGACTATCAAATTCGAAATTACGTGACATAGAACTTAGTGGTTGGTAATTAGTGCCAATCATGCTTGGATGGTAAGATAAAATAATAAAAAGACTTTAGTAATGTAATTTGACCAAATAATCACTCACATAATTTATTCCAAAATTCACAGTGTTTCTGGAACATTGCAACCAGCCAGAACGTTTGCAGCTCTGCTCTCTAACCTTGAAAGTGTTATATTCTTTTGATGACTCTACTATGTTAACTGCTGATTAGTGAGGGTATCCTCATCAATGATCAGTGGCGAGCTGATAGTATAAGCTTTACCAATCCCCACTGATCTTTTACTGTCTAAAGAAAACTTACGAACGTTTTTTGGGGTGGTGTTACCCACTACCGTTCTGATTGACTATGAACATTTACATTCAATCTCTTACTGATCAGTTTCCTCTTTGGATATGAGAGAATTATCCCAACCACTATCCAGAAAAATCAAAGTCTCCAAGCTTTCACTTTGGTAAAATAGTGTAACCGGGATAATACCACGATATTTTTATATGGAGTTTGTATGAACTCATGATTCCTTTGTACCTGATGATTACTGGATTTCGAATTCCGAATACAAAACATTCATTTGTGCTCATTTAATACTTCTTAGATAAATTACGTTATTTCTGGGATTCTCAGTTCGAACTATAAACCAGACTCTTAATTATCACAATTTATAATAAATTCCACTCCTCAAACAAGTCCCCTGGACAATTCTTATTCACAATGGCATGAAGAAACGAATAATATTTAACTTTTCAGTCTTCAATATCGTAATCGAATCTCGAGCTGCATGTTCACATTATGTGATGATCTTCAACACGTACATAGCAAAATTCACGCCTTTTTAACTCCATGCCTCTTTTAGCAAGCCCAGGCTCTGGCAATTTTGTGTTATTTGATACCCTCATAACCAGCCTTACGAAAGGCATAAGTTACAATCTTGATTTTCGGATAACCAAGCTGAGAATAGTACTACTGGCAAAGCGATTTTCATGATTGTTTCTATCATTCGTCACTTTATGATTTTCTATTACTGCATATTGATTTCCAGCTAATCTGACTGTCTTCAATAATGAGAGTCAACTCTCTAAATTCCAGTTCCCTATCAGCAATCATAATTTTGTGAGGTTCCCTCCTCACCTCTCCTATAAGTTCAAAGGTATATGCGATACTGTCGAATGTGAATTAGCTTAAGAATTCAAATCAGGCACATAACTTGTCCGTATCAGCGCTTTACTTAACTTGAGGGGCTCCATTGTACAACTAGTCAGGTTGTTGACTTAACATAACATAGGTTTGCGTTCGGGTAAGTTTGATATAGACACGCGATCTATTAGATTCTCTTTCATAGACAAATCATACAATATTTGCTTTGCTCTTCCATAACCTAAATTACACGGTGGGGAGACACATGCTTCATGAGTTGTTCTGTAACAATCGCAATTTAAAGTTATCCATAAAATTGACATGAAATCCTCTTGAACGAGGTAAATGCTGGTAGATCTACTGTAAAGTTGGGGGCATTATCATGAGCCCAGCTCTAGACTTAAATGAGACCATAGAGGTGGACCCCACCAGGGAAGCCGATAAGCATATAGATGTAGGCATTTTCACAAGGAAAAGGAAGAAGCGCATTGAGATGAAGAAACTACCTATGGACAGCACTGAGGCATATGAATATGCGGGCTCAGTTCCGGATTCACATATCAATGCAATACAAACTATAGGGGAGCCAAGTCTGAGCACTGTAGAGAATGTGATCAAGAGACAAATAAGGTAAATGAGTGGCTCACAGCCACTCCGAAGAATTGAAAAGTAAGAAAATGGAATGCAACTTTTGCGTTTGACGCTGAATTGAAGTCGGAGTGCAGGGTAGAGACGACTTCATGAACGCTCTAGGCTTTAAAACGGACATTCATCAAGCTAGATTCTATCATGTTCACTACAGTATACACAACCTCAGTGAGAACTAAGCTTGAGAACTGTTCTCAGGCTGCAAGCCCCTGTTTAACAGGTGACACGGATATCCTGGAAAATATGCAGAGGGCAGCCACCCGTGCAATCTCAGAACTCCTAAGTTTACAATACAAAGAGCGGCTTGAAAAGCTGGACCACTTTACTCTGTCCTTTTGCAGACTAAAGAGAGATTTAATCTTGATGCATAGAATGCTAAGAAATCATTTCAGGCCCAACATATTCTCCCTTTTTCTTCCCACTAGATCGGGACATCTCATAGAACATAGCAGGCGAATAGAAAAGCCAAGAAAGAACAAAGCATACAGGTTTTCACACTGAGTATTAAAAACTTGAAACCTGTTACTTGAAGCAGTGGTGCCCGCACCTAACGTTGACTCTCTCAGGAGAAGACTACACACTCACAGAAACATACTGGAATAAAACAACATAGTTTGTAGGCATTCTGTCCTTACTACACAAATCTGAATCTTTTTGTTGTTTAGACACACTACTAATGAAGGCCGAGTAAATTCCTCCGAGTTCGAATGTAGTTCGCGTAACACGTTCGAAGTTGTCGACATCAACGGTAAAAGCATAGGATAACGACAGTCTTGAGTTAACCGATCGAAATTCATATAATACCTCAATTATTTTTCTTAAAGTTTAATGCTTAGTGATGGGTAGCGTATATGTCATTATTAGCCAATGAATACTGGTAATATTTAAATATTACCAATTGGTTATTAGAATGTTTATAATCACTGAGAGTATCTATTATACAATAACAAAGTGAATTATAGATGGTGCATTAGCTAAATTAAGTGATATGTTGCTTCTAAGTCAGACCTTCAGCATACCTAATCTAATTCACCGTCTAATCACGAGCGTTTAGTAAAGCTAGATAGTGTTCTCCCTTTCTCTATC